CCTTTGCCAAAAACTAATCAGCTCTTTTCCCAATCAATAGGAATCGAATGTTTTTTGAACCATTCAAATCGGTTGATCCGTGCGCCCTGAAACGTGACTGGAAATTTGTATCCACACATACATACACACACACACACACACACACACATCCATTTTTTCTGAGGTATGCCAAAACGTTCAGAAACCTTCAAAACGTCGAGAAATGTAAAAATTTTCAATTCCGATTTTCGGCCCATTACAATAACTTACCCTACGGGAAGTTAAAAATAATAAAGTTAATCAAAAATGTTATATATGAATCAGCTGTTTTTATGACTGAAAATATGAATAGATGTAAAAATTTGGGTGTTTTATAAATGATCAATAAACATTTTTATTTTAACTAATGCAGATATTTCAAGAGTGCAAGGCTGAAAAAAATGCAATGAAACAAAAATTTCCGTATTATATATTATGAAAGCCCATCAAGATGTAATTGTTAAAAACGTGGGCTAGCGTAAAATAGTACCGGGTTCGATCCCAACCACGGCAGTTCGCTATCAAGCAGTATGACATCAAAATTTCTCTTGAAGTTATATATCTCAAACATACTCAACAAAGATACTTCAACGCTATTAGATATACATTTAAAATATATATAGTTTACATATGAAAAAAATGACTGGTTGACCGCTGGGTTGCCCTCTCGAGATAAATACTAGGTTAGGATGAGTAATAGCAAATACAGTTCTAATCGATGTTAAATAAAATTTATTATGTAATACAGAGACGCTTAAACTTTTGTCCTTTGCGACCTCATTTACGAGTTTCTCGACAACCCCACATATATAAAAAAATAAATTAATATTTTTAACCCTTTCCACTCGCGAATTCCGGAATTTATATGTATTTTGCCGCCGGAGCAGCGGCATCCGTTGTCGAAAAGGTTAAAATTAAACAGAGACGTGTCTAGCCAGCGTGCAGTGCGTGCCGTATTTTTAGAAACTAGAAAAAAAATCGTGGTAAAATAATTTTGAAAATTTTTGGAATTTTTTTAAATCGAGGTAAAAAATGAATACACGTGACATCTTGCTAGACCTCTCGTGATACTTTGTGATTTTTTATCAAACCCTCCCCCTCCCCGTTTGAGGCTCACAAATAAAATGAACGCCCCGTTATCGTGTTTAATCCAATGGTTTTTAAATTTGTAAAATCGGTTCAGCCGTTTCTGAGAAAAATAAAAGATAAATGGCTCACACACATACATCGATAAAACATAAAATCACAAAATCAGATTTTTTAGCAAAAACATGAACATAAACTTCTATTTTGGGAAGTTAAAAGTCGTTCATTCTGAGGAGTGCCCTGAAAGAACATTATATAACATCATTTTTGTATAAGATTTGATGGTATCACACCACTATTCATGCAAATTTTGCACATTCAGTTCTTATTTCACAAATGAGTGAAATAATATTAATATATTCACTAACTCCTTCATGTAGTTAGAAAACCATTTTATATAATACCACTATTCCTCTCATTTTTCTAAATTATATACTCGTATTTATGATGCAATGCGCAACATATAGTGGATGGTCTCTTTATAATCTAGGATTCATAGTATATGCAAATGCATTTTGGTTATCAGAAAAAAGAAAAAATATGTTAAATAAAATAAAAAAAAACTTAAAAATATTTTATTCAGTTAGGGTTCAACAAGAAACTGTATTGCGATCAACCTATGATGAACGAGTCGTCCCGGTTAGAATCAATCCGGGGCGTACAAAACCACGCCATCGTAATCTTCATAGTATTTAATAATTTTTGTATAAATTTCAATATATCATATTACTAACTAACTAAAACCTGCATTCTACAGAATGATATAAAGATTGATTCATTTAATACAAGCTTCATCCCGAAGTAAAATAATGCGCAATTATGTATTACAACTTACCCCGAGGACAATTCCTCCACGTGTGTATCAAAATATGTGCGATTTGGTAGGAATAGTATTTCTAACACATTATGTAGTAGTTTATTTAACAGGATTACACTAAAACACTATTAAATTAGAAAAATGACGATTACGAAAAATTAAAAACGCGTCCCGAAAATAATTTACACCTCAAGGGCGTTAAGGTGTCACCTCTTAGGCGACATTTGCAGAACTAGATCGAACCTGTATTAAACTATTGAATTATTTTACGATTTTTTACGAATATTATCGATTTGGAACGATTGTTAAAATTTGACTATTTAATACAAAAGTCTTCAAGGGCAGAGCTCATATAATATATTGTATAGTATAATATACATTTATGAACTCTTGTTGAATTGTACCTACTTAGAAATTATTTTAGATTTATATACAGATATTATAAATGATAATAATGCATATTATTTAAAAATATAATTTATAACTAATAATGCATATTGTTTAAAAATGTAATTCATAATTAATAATGTACATTAATATATTTTGTGATATATGTATAGTTTTAAAAAAATAAAGAAATTGGTACAATTCAACAAGAATTCATAAATATAGAAAATGCATTATTTTTTTTAGATTTCTTTAATGGAGCTATAATTGCTGATAAAATATAATAATGTATGCATATTGTTCAAAAAATAACATTTATTCATCTATTCTAATGAAATTTACTCTTTACTTATTCACTATACCTTAAGTATATACGAACAGGTAGTATTACTTATATATTATATTAGGTGTATTCAATTATGAGTTTATACCATTTTCTGAGAATATGACATTTGCTAGGTGTAAGTGGTATTTTGCTTTAAGGGGAGTTGCAACAATTGGCTTAAATTATAATGAATCAATATATTATGAGTTACAATATAGCATAATGATGTAAGAAAGTATCCCAGATTATTCAATTTTGTATCAACTTTCCAAAAATGCTAGTGATTTTCTGAATGAATGAATGAATACATTTCATTTGAAAACCAACATACTCCTAATATATATAGTCCAGTCATTATAGTAAGTTTACCTTGGAATTCGACATACCCAGCTGTAAGTCTGTAAATACTGTATATTGACACCATAAAAGTTGTCTCAAAACCTACATATGGTAGGGTGTATGTACCATATGCAGGTTTTGAGACAACTTTTAGTGTGTCAGTATACAGTATTTACAGACTTACAGCTGGGTACCTCGAATTTCGAGATTCTTACCTAATTTAAGCTTAAATAACTGGACTTATATACGGAATATTGTCTGAAAACGCAGCCGATTAATCTACATTTTAATTGATTTTTATGATTAAACCACTTCTCATAGGCCTCTAATATTTTTTATGTTCATTCCAGGAAGCATTTCTGGTCACCATACAAGATTTTATTAAAATCGTCCTAAAAAATAAATTTTAGCCATCAATTGCAAAAATTTTGCACTTTTTTGGTGATTACAAAGAAACGGCTTGGTCGATCGACACCTAAAACAAACAAATGCTAGTTCTTATAAAGTTACATCCAGTGACTATTAATTTTTTTTTTAAATTGGGCAGCCTTTTTTGAAAAAATATCGATAAAAAGTCAAAAATCGGATCACACACATATACTTTTTCTAAATTAGGTATCAAACTTTTCAGAATGACTTGAAACGTCGAGAAAACATAAAATTGGCAAATCGTAAAAACAAACTTGGAGGGGAAGTTAATAATTGTCGGCGGCATCCGAGTGTAAATAGTTAAAGTATTTTTTTGGACTTTGAGAAAATTATGTAATAAATTATTCATTTATTGAAGTAAATATTAATTGAACTATTAATTAAAATAATAAATTAAAATTATCTTTAAATGTACAAACAATTCAAATAATTGATTTTGATGCAGATATTATAGTTTTTTAAATGATATGTATGTGCTGAAAATTATAATAAAAATCAAGTGAAATTTAAAAAAAAAATACAATGACAATGATATAATGAACTGGAAAAGAACCCAAGAAAAATTACACAAAATGTGTACACATTATGAAAATCTCTATAAAATATGTGATAATTGATATAAATAATAAATTTGATGTGCATAAGTCCAATAAAATTTTTTGACCGCCAAATGACATTTTTTTTAACTTATTTTTATTGAGAGTCCATAACAGCTGGACCTGCCTTCCAAAAAATTTAATCAGTAGTTCATCTTGTCAATAAAAAGGTAAAATCGGACGCTCCGTTCTCTTAAAACCGAGTTATCGCTTGTGGCACTTTTTGCCCGTATCTTCGGAACGGCTAGATCTGCCTTCGCCAAAAACTAATCAGCAAGTCTCCTTATCAATACAAATCAAATGTTTTTTGAATTATTCAAATCGGTTGATCGGTGTTCTCAAAATCGTCGACGAAAATTTGTATCCGCACACACACATACAAACACAAACACACACATGCACACACAAACACACATCAATTTTTTCTAGGGTATGCCAAAATGTTCAAGAACCTTTAAAACGTAAAGATATATAAAAATTTTCATTTTCGATTTTTTTGCTATTACTATAACTTACTTTACGGGAAGTTAATAATAAAATTTAAAGTACATATTATAATACATATAATACATATAATACTATAGTAATAACAGCAATTTTCTTTGGGGCACAATGCATTGCCCCACAAGTTTAATAATATTTTAGATTCACTTTTAGGAGATAGATCAGTATTTAAATAAATATATAATCCAGGCGGAATTATGTTTAAATCGGCATCTCTAACAAAACGCATGTACTCTTAAAAATTGGTAGAAATCCAAGATAAGCAAAATATTCCAAAAGTTTAGAGCAAAGCTAAAATATACTAACAATATTTTAATATAATTTATCAGTTCAGTATAAAGTGTAATTAGTTTTTTACTCAATTAAAAAAGAATTTTCGTTTTTCATTTATCTTTTTTGGTATAGATAATTTTGAATCGACCGCGCAATGATAGTGTTGGTATGATTCACAATCTTCGGATGATAACGGCGTCGACAACACCCAACAAATGTTTGACAGTTGACGTAAGAAGCAAATTGTAGATAAAGAATATTTCATATAAATGAAACAGTATAATTAATTAACTATTTTAACTAATAAACTAAATGTTATGGATAGCAAAGGTAGAAACGTAATTGTTTGTGACAATGGTACCGGTTTTGTCAAATGCGGTTATGCTGGGAGCAACTTTCCAGCTCATATTTTTCCTTCCTTGATCGGAAGACCTATTATTAGGGCTGATAATAAAGTTGGAGATATCCAGGTGAAAGATTTAATGATAGGAGATGAAGCTTCAGCCCTTAGATCTTCCTTAGAAGTCAGCTATCCCATGGAAAATGGTGTTGTTAGAAACTGGGATGATATGTGTCATGTTTGGGATTACACTTTTGGAGAGAACAAAATGAATATTGATCCAGCTAACACGAAAATACTTCTAACAGAACCTCCTATGAACCCTACTAAGAACAGAGAAAAAATGATAGAAGTCATGTTTGAGAAATATGGTTTTGATTCGGCATACATTGCTATACAAGCTGTATTAACTTTGTATGCTCAAGGTTTATTAAGTGGTGTTGTAGTCGATTCAGGTGATGGAGTCACTCATATCTGTCCTGTTTACGAAGAATTTGCCTTGCCCCATTTAACAAGGCGTTTGGACATTGCTGGTCGTGATATCACTAAGTATTTAATAAAACTTCTCTTGCTGAGAGGTTATGCATTTAACCATTCCGCAGATTTTGAAACTGTTCGAATGATGAAAGAAAAACTTTGTTACATAGGCTATGATATAGAACAAGAACAAAGACTTGCCTTAGAAACCACTGTCCTCGTTGAACCCTATGTATTACCTGATGGTCGTGTGATCAAAGTAGGTGGAGAAAGATTTGAAGCTCCTGAAGCTTTATTTCAGCCACATTTAATTAATGTAGAAGGCCAAGGCATTGCTGAATTAGTATTTTCCACTATCCAAGCAGCAGAGATCGATATGAGAAGCGAGCTGTACAAGCATATTGTGTTATCAGGTGGTTCCACAATGTTTCCAGGTTTACCTAGTCGACTAGAAAGAGAAATCAAACAATTGTATTTGGAAAGAGTATTAAAAAATGACATAGATAAATTATCTAAATTCAAAATTCGAATTGAAGATCCTCCAAGACGTAAAGATATGGTCTTCATTGGAGGTGCTGTATTAGCTGAAGTTATGAAAGACAGAGAAAGTTTTTGGATGTCGAGACAAGAATACCTTGATCAAGGATTAGGAGTATTAAGAAAATTGGGTGCCAGGAGCACATGATATTGAACTGTATTAAAAATAGATATTGAATTGTAATAATTCAACATTGAAAATTATATTAAAAAAACTATTAATATTTATCAGACATGCTTTTACTTTTACATTGCTTTTAAATATTTTTTACATTTTATAATTATTTTAACTTAATTATATTGTTAGATTAAGTGCCAAACATAATATAATTTGGTTATACATAAATTGTTTTATTTTTAAAATGTAATATTTAATGAAATGATATCATTTTTAATTAAAAAAGTAAAACCTTTCATGAATTTTATATCACTTTCATATAAAACATTGATCAAAATCTGTTATAGTAAACTACGATAAGGTACTCCAATAACTTCAACTGTAGCAACTGGATTTATATAAGCTTACCTTGAATTATACTAAATTTCATGAGAAATTTCAGGAGCAAACTAACCACATTAACACAATACATGTTACATACTAATTTACTTCTGAACATAAATTCAAATAGCATAGTTTATAAGAAATAAATTCTCAAATATTCAATAGATGGAATTTTATGAACTTTAACTACAGAATTAACTATTGTGGTCGCAATCAATGTAAATTCATAAATGACTTTAATTTGATATTATAATCTAATCTTCCAATATATTTAATACTAATAAAAATCCAGATTGGAAATTATAGAATATTTGCATTAAGCACTATGCAAGACTAAAATTCAATTTTATTAAGATTTTTATATGCAATTCAACTTTTATAATAAGGTAACACTTAACAGATAGGTCCCGAATACTTATTCCTTACCATTCTAAATAAATAATATAATAAAATACAATTTTATTAAGATTTTTATGTGCAATTCAACTTTTATAATAAGGTAACACATAACAGATGGGTCCCGAATACTTATTCCTTTTCATTCTGACCTCAAAAGAAAAGGAAATATTTAAATCGAATCGAGATTAAAATTGTAAAAAATGGCTAGCAGCATTAAGTATTAAGAAAACTTATTCCAAACTGATGTTAATTTCAGAACCTTGATAAAATTATGTCTTAAGTGGCAATGAATGTTGATATTCCAGGTGGAAAAATGCATATCGATATTTTTTTCAGAGACAGAATTGAAAGATAATGTAATGTAATGTAATCTCTTATAGCAGGCATTCCTGTCTGAGATAAGTAAATGTATATATTGCTATATTAATAAATAAATATATTTATATGTATAAAAAAAGATGTATGAATACCTTAAGAAAAATGCATTTACAAAAAATAAATCGGACTACCGCAACAGAGTTATAGGTATGTACATACCTTCAATTAGAATTTTTGCACGATTTATGCTGTAGTTTACTATATGTAGGTAATATAATTATGAAAACATATGTACATACATAAGGAAATGTTAATTTCTTATTCAGCATTGATTTTTGTTGATATTTATGTATGTATTTGTTATTTTTAATAAATACACAACATTATTCTTCACACACATTGGATCATCAGGATGCCTATTGACAACAATTAGTCCGGTTAATCAAGGTTCTACTGTACTTACATTGAATCTTAAAACCATTTAAATTATCCAATAAGTTTTTATGTAGTTACAATGCTTAAAATCAATACATCTATATTTAAATGCCCTGAAAAATGCTCAGGAACTCAAAAAGGGTTAATATAAAAATATATAGGCCAGTAAAGTAAACCTCAAAGCAAATATAACAAATATTGTGTTGCAAAAGAATTATAGCAATAAACTGCATTTCAAAATTAATGTGGCTTTAAATTTCCTTCTTATATCCTTCGAACTGTGAAAAAAGCAGCTAATGCATTTCAAAGTATATAAATACTAAATATAGTATAGAAAAAAATATTTGTTACTGAATTACGAAGATTGATTCTTGACAAATAGATTTAAGTCTTGAATCACTAAATTGATGTTAATTGTTGTGTTCGGAGTATTAAGGTTAATGAAACAATAAGTTGGGAGTGATAAGTCGTATATTTATAATTCCATACAAATAATTGAACCCAGATATTATAGTTCAGGATATCACCTCTCACATTCTGAAATAAAGAGAATTTGTTAATATCTCTATAATTTAAATGGATAAAAAACATATCTTTAAACAAGTACAAACAAAGTGAGGTTATGTTAACTAATGAAAATTTAATTGGAAATTCTTAAAATCTGATTATTACAGCATAAGTATATTTTATTACTTACTTAGAATTAATCTATCTTAGTCTTCTAGCTTCACGTTCAGATTCCAAAAGTGTTAAAATATCACCCTCTCGTACTGGTCCTTTGACATTTCGGATGATTTGTCGGTTTTGTTCACCAATAAATTCAACTTTAACTTGTGTACATTGTCCTTGGGATCCTGTACGGCCCAAGACTTTCATAACGCGAGCAAGAACTACAGGTTTATCCATTTTTAATTTATTTTATGAAAATTTACACGTGCTGTGTGTAGCAAACTATCGTGCTTCGGGACAGCCGGAAGAAAGAGAAAGGTTAAATACAGAGTTAAGTTGGTAGTAGTTTTTTCATAATACAAGTGCTGCCAATGTTAGAGGTTTGATTTCAAGTGCGTGAAAAATGGCGCGATTTTTAAATCAAATTTGTTTTTGGTTTATAGTTTATAATAAAAGTAAGAGTCAATGTACATAATAAATAATTAAAATCAAAAATATATGTGATATTTTCCTATCTAACAATATTAATAAATTCTTAGATTATAAGCCTTAGATTGTACGAATTATTGCCTTTAAATTGTAAAACATTATTTAATAGATTATTTAAAAAAAAATCACTTTGGAATAATTTTCTTTGTATTTTGTACAATAAAAATGTTAAAAATAAAGAAAAAAATAAAATATACTATTTTAATGTATTAAGCATAAGAATATCCCCTTTACAATAATTGCTTTTAAGAATTTTTTAACGTACGTCCTGAAATTTATAATATATAAATCAAAATCTTAGCTAGTGGTGTATGGCATCGTGCCTTAAGCCAAATTACTGGAACTTCCCGTACCCAAACAAAATGTTCGAGAAATATTAAATGTTTTCTGATAGGTTATTATAAATATTGTAACATTGTCTAACATTTATAGAGTTATATAAAATGAATTACAAAGTTAAAATTATTTAAAGTATATAAGTGAGCTTTAGAACGTTAGCCAGAATTAAAGTCTGAATTATTTTTGATATACAAAAAAAATGTTTGAAAATAAAAATTTTGAAACAAATTTTTGTTTACTAAAAGCAATTATTTTGTTAAAACAAGCAAAAATTTTTTTTTTCTTTTTCTTGTTGTTTGAATCATTCAAATCAGATGCTTAGTTCTCTTTAAAACTGCCATTTTTTGTACAACTACCCCTGTATCTTCCAAATGGCTGGACCTGCCTTTCCCAAAAACTAATCACCACTTCTCCCAATCATTACAAATTGAATGTTTTTTAGATGCTCCGTTCTCTCAAAATTTCGTTCGATTTCTATTTTCTGCACTCTTTGCTCTTTATCTCCGTAACGGCTGGATCTGCCTTTGCCAAAAACTAATCAGCACATCTCCCTATCAATAGGAATCGAATGTTTTTTGAACCATTCAAATCGGTTGATCCTAGGGCCCGAAAACGTAAACGAAAAAATGCGTACACACAAAACACACACACATTTTTTCTGAGGTATCCCAAAATGTTCAGAAACCTCTAAAACGTGAACAAATGCAAAAATTTTCAATTTCGATTTTTGGATGATTACAATAACTTACCCTACGAGAAGTTAATAATTAAAATCAAAAATATACTTAATGGTTAAAAATGTTATATAATTTTATATGATATGTTTTTATCCAACAATAATAATAATTATTATTATAAAGTTACCAAATGTAAATTTAATGCCAATAAAGTTTTTTATCCTTACGTTGAATTATTAGCTCTAAATTGTAAATTAATATTTAATGGTTTATTTAAAAAAAATTAAATCAATTTGTCAATTTGGAATAACTTTCTATTTAATTTGTACAAAGAAATGTTAAAAATGAACAGAAATGATTATGAAATTTAGAATGGCTCTTAAACATCAGTATATCTCTTTAAAAATAATTTCTTTTTAGATTTGTTTAATGTACGTCCTGAAATGTTTAATATATGAAAAAAAATCTTGAAAAATGATTGAACTTTTTTAATTTTTAAAATGAATAGATTTTTTTAAGGTTTTTATAAATGGTCTTTTGATTATATAATAATTTTTCAACAAGTTCATTACATTCTGAATTTCCTTAATTTCACTATCTAAGTATATTTTTCATACATATAATAAATATAAATATTCTTACTATTAGAATATGAATAGTGAAGTAACTACAGAATGCAAATAATATATTAAAACTAGATGGAGAAAATTATATGACTAAACTAAATAACCGTGAGATTTAGAAATATTTTAGCTATTACCTCATGTAATTTTCGAATCATAATAATTGGTTTCAATATGTATAATGTCTTTTAAATGAAATGGTTTTTAAAGTGGTGGTCCTAATATAATGATTGAACTAATCATCGAATTTGCCCAACATGTAATAAAATAGTATTGTTTTTATAATTCTCTATGCATTAAATATAAATATTAGGACACAAATTATCATCATAAAAGAAAATATCATTTTTTAAGTTCAAATATTCAAATTTCAAAAAATGATTAATTTATACATAACAAATATACTTAGCCAGTTAATTTTCAAGAGTGAAATACATTAGAAATTCAAATAATTTGATGGAAAAAAATCTTCCTATTACTTTTTACTTTATTATTTTCTCATTTATTATATTTTATATAATTTAATAACTATTTTTACCTCTATTATGATACAACATGAGTACTTCATTCTGTTAATATTTGAGTATGACTCAAAACTGATTTTGGCTAAATATTTTCGATCACTTAATTTTTTAAATTACGTTTCGCTATTTTTATCATAGAGCACTCCAGATAAGACATCAATCATTTAGTAATTGGTTTTATATGTTAACCTTGATTCCAAATTTATTTCGACGAGTATGATGGATCAAAAGTGTATGTTTTAGTCTTCAATTAATCTAATCGACCATTTCTGATGGTTAACAGACGGTCAGAGCTCGTCTAAAAGCTCACAAACCTGTAGTAGAGTTGTGGAAAAATAAATATATTTATAATAATTATATGTGCCAAAAGTATATATTATATTGTTAATAAGTTTTGTGCAAGTGACTGGATTTTTTGGCTGGAAATCATTTGCAAGTAAGTGCTTACTACGAAATTGCATTCTAGTAAGCTCTAAACTTATTATTAAATTAAATTTGTTCTAAATAACTACAGCAAATAAGCACAAAATATTCATTTATTGCTGTATCAATCAAAGTGATGAGTAATTAAATTAGTTAAAATATATTAAATTAACTTAATTTATAACAGTTAAAAATAAATTAAATCAAATTTAATTTAATTAAAAAATAAAGAATAAATAAATCTACAGTAACAATGCATTATTGAGTTTAAACTTTGCTTAACCAAATAGAATAGAATATTTTAGAATAGAATAATTTAAAATGTTAATTATTTAATACATATGATAGATAATATATATTGTATGATTACGATTATCTAAAAAAAATTACCTCAAAACATCTGTTGAACAAATCTAAACATTAAATAAATTTTATTTGCACATGATTATATTGTTATTCAACTAGCCAACACATTTTATCAATTATCAGATTACAGTATTTACTTATTTGTGTAAAATAATATTAACTTTAATTTTAATATATTTAACAAATTCAATTTTATTTAAAAATCGCTGAAAACTTATGTATGCTGCAAAATACTAGATATAATATAAATATCAAATACTGCACAAGAAAAGTTTCATAAAAATTTTATCGAGTGACTTATAAAATTTTTTGTTCTTAAATGCCACTAGTTAAAGGTTATTTTAAGAAAATTAACTACCAGTTAATTGTATCAATCTAAAGTATTCAAACTTCAATCCATCAAAAGTTTTGAGGAAACTAGAAATATTAAGTGGAGGGCCTTATTTGCATGTTCATGTCATTTGCACTCAAATTAAAGTATCAACTTATATTTATTTTCATTGCATTTTATATTTACTGTTTTCTTTTATTTTATTTTCATATTTATAATAATATTTTGACTAATGGTTTTTAAGGTTGAATAAACATTAATTAACAAAAGTAAAAATATTTAAAAATGGTTAGTTACCTCATTTCTCTTACAACCTGCAAGACTCCGTCTACATCAAGCCAGCATATTCTAAAAAAATATTTAAAAAAAATTAATACAAAGTTGATCAACCAAATAAATAAATGTATCTATAATATTATAATAATTTGTTTCAGTTTTTACCATGGTTTTCCTATTGCTAATAGCAACAGCCCTAACATTGTTTCTTGGTTACGTCTGGCACGTGGGCAGTTACTGGTCTAAGAAGAAGGTACCAGCACCATGTCCTGGTGAATCTTATGCAAGACTTTGGACTAATTTCACACTATCCGAACATTTTGGACTTTTGCTGGATAAAACATACAAGTAAAATAAATTTTGATCTACAAGTTTATGGGTCAACTTTGCGGTAACACAGCCGACAACATAGCGTTGTTATGGCATCGCTATGTTATGTTTGCTTCTTGGTAGTAAAAACTGTGAAAATTTTATCTATTTGCTACACGATCAGGCATGTTTTGCATATAAAATAGCAAGAAACTAGTGGTGTATGATGGCATCGTGCCTTAAGGCAAATAACGAAATGTTCGAGGAATATTAAATGTCTTCAAATTGAAGTTGAAATAATTTGTTTAAAGTATATTAGAACTTTAGTCAGAATTAAAAATAAAATCTGAATTATTTTCGATATACAAAAAAAATTTTTAAAAAATCAAATTTGAAGAAAAAAAATTGAAACAATTTTTTTTTAATTATTTTGTTAAAACAAACGGAAAGTTCTTTGAATCATTCAAATCGGACGCTTATAGTTCTCTCAAAAACTGCAATTTTTTGCACATTTAGCTCTGTATCTTCGAAATGGCTGGACCTGCCTTTGACAAAAACTAATCACCTCTTCTCCCAATCATTATAAATTGAATGTTTTTCACATAATTCAAATCGGATACTTCGTTCTCTCAAAAACTCAATTTGTATTTTCTGCACTCATTGCTCCGTATCTCTGTAACAGCTGCACCTGCCTTTGCCAAAAACAGTACATCTCCCTATCAATAGGAATCGAATGTTTTCTGAACCATTCAAATCGGTTGATCCGTGCGCCCGAAAACGTGAAGAAACACACACACACATCAATTTTTCCAAAATGTTCAGAAACCTTCAAAACGTGAAGATATGCAAAAAAATTCATTTTCGATTTTCGGCCCATTAATATAACTATCCTACGGGAAGATAAATAATATACGATTTTATGTGTGAAATGCCTGATTGTGCAGCAATTAGATAGACACTCTCACAATTTTTACTACCAAGAAGCAAGCATAACAAAAGCGTTGCCATAGCAACTTAAAGGAAGTTGTGATCGGTTCCAATAATGTCAATAATTAGTTTTATTATCAGAAGATTCTAAATAGAAGAAATAGTTGTTGACCAACTATGTTTAGAGAACAAACAATTTAAAGCAATATTTTATGTAATACATTGATAAAAATTACGAAAAGATATGATTCTATTTTTTTTTACCTTTTTTTTTAAATTTATGATAGTATTTAAAAACATCGTTTAAAATTATTGTGAGTGACAAGGTATATTTAAAAATATAATTATCATGTATCACTACATTACATAAACAGATTTTTACTCACCTTGTAAACAAAAAAATATATTCCGGTTTATCATCTTTTACTATACTCAAAGCTTTGTCGGCTTGATTAAAATAATTACTAAATGTTTATTAGATAAAGTTTAATCTCGATATTAATGAGTTTTACGCAGCCTGAAAAGCATGATTAGATTTCATGTAGAACCCATCGTCGTTACAAAATATTAATATTTTAAGTAAAATATGTATTTCTTCTGATTACAAATATTTATTTCAGACGTTTCCAAGGAAAACCTTACTTTGGAGCATTCTCGTTTTTTAAACCGTTGTTTGTGATAAGAGATTTGGATTTGGTAAAGACTGTTTTACAAACAAACTTCAACAGTTTCCAAAAGAATGATTTTGATATCGATGAAGAACTCGAACCAATTTTCGCAACCAATCCATTTTCCCAATCTGGACAAAAATGGAAACGTTCCAGGACTCAGATTACACCTGCTTTCACATCAGGAAGGGTAGGAAAACTAACCAGCTATTTAATGCATTTTAATAAACGCGAATAAAGTAATACCAAATTGTAGATACTATTACTATTTATAAAAGTTTACATTGTGTCTCCATGAACTTTATTAGCATGTACCTAATATTATAAGTATCTATTATTTTAGATGAAAGCGATGTATCCACTGATGATAGAAGTCGGAGATAGGATGAAAAAGTATTTGGAGAAAAATGAAGGCATTCCAGAAGGAATTGATACAAAATCAGTAAATATCAACTGGTCTATAATATCATAGGTTCAATTAAAGACAAATTTAGCTTTCATTTTTTATATTTAGCTCAGTGAAAAGTTCGCAATGGACAATGTAGCAAGTTGTGCTTTTGGAATAGACGTAGAATCTTTCACCGATAAAGATTCAGATTTTATTCGAGTTGCAAAGAAAATATTCGAACCATCTTTTACTAATATGATCAAATTTCTCATCGCTTTCATGGTACCATTTTTATCTAAAATTCTCAAAATACGGTAAGGAAGAAGAAATATATTTTTTTTTATACTTCAATTTGACCATATAATCACATACGTATATACATACTTTTATATTATATATTTTAGATTAATGCCTAAAGAAACTGCAGACTTCATGACTCAAATAGTAACACAAAACGTTAAATATAGAGAAGATCATAAAATCGTTAGAGATGATTTTCTTCAAGGCATGATAAATTCCAAAGGAAAGGGCCAGGGAGAATTTCCACGTGAGTATTTTCAAAATTATTAATGCAAACCTAAATACCATTTTCATTCTGTTTACATATACAATATTTTTTCTACTTCTAATAAATAGTGCATTTATTTTTCTGTTTCATGGTAAACAGATGGTAACGTTTGTTATCACTATCAAAAATTAGTGTCATTTACGTAGTTTTGGTAGTCTATATGGAAAGTCCAATTATCTAGGTCAATGTTTTAATACCAATAATAAATATTTCAGCTTTGACCAATTTGGAAATGACAGGACATGCTGTATCCTTCCTGACAGATGGTTATGAAACATCAAGCGCCGTCATGGCATTTGTATTTTATGCGGTAAGAATATTGTAATATTATGTTCCATCAATCTATCTACCTATCAAAGTCTTTTCCTTCTAAACTTGTACAAAAAAAATTATAAAAATCAGTCAGAAAATGATGCATATTTTAATTGCTCGAAAAAAGCGAGAGAAGCCAACTGGTTGAATAGAACTTTTCATTCAAAGCTGATGCACTTGAAACCTTTTGCTCCTAAATGTGATCAATACTATTCCAAATTTTCCTAATTTTATTTATCTGTACGCTGTAACACTTAATTAATTCATCATATGCCATACTTCTTATGTATTGGATAGGATTATTATCATTCGTTATCATGAATTTCATAATCTTTAAACCATTCGTTTACTTTGGACAATGCATATAGAATATTTGTTCGCAAATTAAGATGTTCAATATGATCTAAAATAGCAATGACTCACAACAACCCTTTGCACTCGAAACACAGGATCATTGCAAAAAGTGCTTTGTACAGATATCCACAAAATTGTTTTGAATACATAAATGATACTATTTAAAACATATAAATTGCCCATTTAGTATATAAAATATTTAGTTTTAATTATAAACTAGTTGAAAGTGGCATTTAACCTTAAGCCAAGTTGCATGAGCTTCGAAATGTGTATTAACTATCGAAATTGAAATTTAGATATTTAGTTAAAATTTTCAACTGTTTATTTCAAAAATAGAGTTATCACTTTTAACATTGCGATTTCGAATAGAATTTTCTCAAACACATTCGAATTAACTGTAATTATATTAATTATATTGCACTGACACTATCAGTGCTTGTATTCCCCAAAATTGTAGCTTATTATTTTATTTATTTTTTATTTCAAATGAATTAATAATGTTTGACTCATCACATCACAAAAGCAACTTTTGACACAAATTTTGACCATAATATTTCATCAAACTATGATGAATTTTTAACGTTAAACTATTTGTCGTATAGCCTTAACATTTTAGTATGTTTTATAAGACCATGATATCTATTGCCAAAAAAGGTTCCTAAAAATCGTCAAAAAATTTTTTTTCATCAGTTAATTTCAAGATAACGGCCCTGTAAATTTTTACCCAATCAGTATCATTCCTAACCAATATCTATCGAACAGTTTGTGATTTTTCAAAATCGATTCAGAATTGAAAGCTAAAACGTGGACTAATTTTTTTCACTTTTTTGCTATTTACAAAAAATGGCTCAGCTGATCGTCGCACAAAACTGAGAAAAGATAATCCACATCAAAATACATCGATTGGCTTTTAAATTTTTGAAATCGGTCTAGCCGTTTTTGAGAAAACGTCGATTTACGGTGAAAAATCTGTTCACACATATACTTTTTTCAAATTTAGTCTCATTCGATTCAGAATGGCTTGAAACGTCGAGAAAACATAAAATTAACGATTCGAATTTTTTGATGAAAAACAAGCTTTTCCTTGGGGAAGATAATAATAATGAATTTTTAATTTTGGTTTTATTTTTTAGGTGGCAAAACACAAACACGTTCAAGATAAATTACGTCAAGAAATTCTGGATGTTTTGAAGAAACACGATGGTCAAGTTACATATGAAGCCATAATGGAGATGCAATATCTAGAACAAGTTCTTTATGGTGAGCATAAAATAAATATTCAACTGTTGCCGAATTTTAAAAATTATAATCTGGTTACAAATTTTCTGAAGAAATTAATTAATTTTTCATAATTTTGATAATTGGTTACATACATGTTAATAAAAAAACAAAATCTGATCTATTTGACAATATTCAACAAATAATACATTGGTGACTAGCAAGGATCTTCTCTTTCAAATAAATACTTGCTTTGTAAAATTAGAAAGAAAAAACTCTTGGGCTTTTAGACAATATCTTTTTAAAAAATCAAGTTTGTTTTAATTTTTCTAGAAACTATGAGACTATATCCTCCCGGTATGATTCTCCAGAAAAGATGTACCCAAGATTGTACAATACCTGGTAAATCATTAGGAGCTGAAGACATCACACTCCGGGAAGGAGATGCTGTAGTGATACCATTGTATTCAATTCAACGGTAATTAATTTTACTTAATTTTTAGTCAATTATATCCTTTTTAATATAAATTTGTATGTAGTGATCCAGAATACTATCCAGATCCTGAAAAGTTTGACCCGGAACGATTTAGTGATGAAGAAAAGGCATCCAGGCATTCATACGCCTTCTTAACTTTTGGTGCAGGACCAAGAATGTGTTTAGGTAAATATATTTATTTCAAATTAAATCGATTATTAATTAAATCAAATTGTGTTAAATCTAAAGAAAATTATTTTCTCGGTATACACAAAATTTGTTCTGGCAAATAAATGTTAACAGATAAACTACTATAATTTTCAATACATAAGATTAATTATGGATCTATTAAAATGAGTTATTTTCTTTTTTAGGAATGAGATTTGCACTTCTGCAAATGAAGGTGGCATTGATGTCTGCTGTTAAAAGCTTCGAATTATCTGTTAATCCAAAAACAAAGGAACCATTAGAATTAGATAATAAGTCATTTATCATAAGAGTGAAAGATGGTATGTGGGTAGACTTCAAAAAATTGTAAAAAATCCCATATATAATATTATAAATGTACACTAATGAACCAATAGAAGTATTTACTACATTTTTGTTTATTTTGTTTGAAGAGGAGTTTGTGTTGAAAAAGAACTACCCAAGTTTCACAGGAATTGTAGATAACTTCTAGAAATATTTATGTACATATGTATATATATATAATATATATATGTTTGTGTATTTTTTGTATAGTGAAGAAAATACGTTTACAATTACCAAAGTAGGTCTTTTGTCTGGGTATGTCGGGCTCAATACTGCCTGGGTATAAAACCGACTAAAACCTTAGCTAATCTCTTACCCCTTGTCTCCACGGAAAACGTCATTAGACATTACTTTATGGGGGGAGGCTCTAGAATTTTATAATTCCCACACGTCACAATCAAACTTTCGTCCTGATAGTGTGTTGAAAAACATTGAAGTTTTTTATAGAAGGTATAGATATTATAGGCATCACAAATAGAACCTTTCTCACATCAAAGATAAATGTACAGAAGCTACAAACGATGCAGAAAATATAATTCTACTGATAACTCATAACAATTTGTTAGATACATCAGAAAACATTGAAGTTTTTTGTAGGAAGTATAGGGATTTATAGCAATCCCAAATAGAGATTTTCCCACATCAAAGACTATTTGTACATAATCAACAAATGATACAGAAAAAATAATTCGACTGATAATACACCAGAAAGTAGTGACATACGTAAGGAAATAGAGAATATAGCAAAATAGCAATTCAAAGTAGAGATTTTCGGTAAACACGAATTTGGTACAGCTAATATTTTATGCATGTCTATATTTTACAAACACTAGATATCTGATATTTGTATTGTGATTAGATTATATATTAAAATACTTGAAAACACTATTACTTGAAACTTTATTATGCTTTTTGAGACTTAGAAAGTGAGCCGTATTATGGTTAGTCTCAAATGTAATTAGGAATTATTGTTTATAATATTAATTATAAGATCAGGATACGAAATTATAATTTAGACTACACCAGCTGGTCAACAAACATTCTGTAATCGTTTATGTAATAAATTTCGCGATAGTGATTATTATTAACCTTGTATTCGCATTTATTTCAATGAGGAGGACATATCAAAGGCGTGCGATTTGCTCTTCAGTTAAACTAATAGCGTGCTTCTGATGCATCATATGTACATATTTATTTATATTATTGTTACATCAGATGAAACAGACTCGTCGCCCTGTTTACATGTGTTAATAAAAATATTGTAAAATAGTTAAAGTGAATAAAAAATTGTGTTACTTGGATTTTATTATAGTTGGATAAATAGCTCACAGTAAGTGGAATTTTATTTTACCATATGGCTTATTATTTAAACTTGCTCCTTGTGACGTTGATAATAGGTATATTATTACAATAATTAGCCAGTTCAAATATTCGATAATTAATTTTTTTATAAATATTGCTTATAATAAATATTTACAGAATTTGACAACAATCGGTAAAAAGTAAATAGCATTTATATATTATCATCACAAATAAACGATTTTCATATCAAATACTAAAGTAATTATAAATACAGTGGAATCCGCTTAGTATGACATCGAAGGGACATCGAAATCTCGTCATACAAAGCACACTGAAGAAAAACTATTGTAATATGTAAATATTTTACATGTTTCAGTAACTTAAAAGAAAAGCCTATACATACATTTTAATTGAAAATAAAAATGACATATTAAAATTTATTATAAAATAAAATTGACATAGGGCAGTGCGGGGCACAAAGGTCCAATTTGATTTTCAGTAATTATACTGTCTAAACTCAATGAACAACCTTGGAACATATAACACACATCAAACAAGCATCTATCAAACTATGTTCAGAAAAAAATTCACATAGTTCCTAATTATATAAATATTATTTTTTTTACTATTTTTTTTGAAATTTGGTATCTGACCCTTTTTATCCTATATACGGTAAAGTGGGACAACCAGGGGGCAAACAGATGCAATTTCTTCTATTAAATTTTAAAGGGATTTTATGCTACATTATTGAACCAATGCAAAATATTAATTTTATGGGTACATTTGTTACAAAAATAACACAGTATATTACATTGACCTGCTATTGGTCAAAAATATTCATCAGAAGATCATATAATTTAGGTCATAAAAGTCATATTGTGAATTGCAGTAAATCTCACAGAGCTTCTGGGTATATAAGCTTCTTTCAACAAACTTTGTCGAAAAAATCATATGAATTTCAAGCCATAAGTTTGTTTGTATTGAATTCATTGTAATCACATTTTCAATAAATTATTTTAAGTTACTTTTGAATTGCATTTTTGTTAAAATTGTTCATTCAGAATATCGATTAAAAAATCGAATATGATATTTAAATATTTGGAGAAAGGACGGTTCGAATCCCAATTTTACTCTTCTTCATTGGACAGAACAACTATGAACAATAATATAAAAAAATGAAATTTATCATACAAAAATAAAAAAAAAGTATGGTGGAACTGTAATTAAGTTTTACTTTATAATATGTTTGCTGATTATTAGTTTATAATAAGTTCAAAAATTTGTTCATATTATTAATTATTTGTTGTGGTTTTATCCGCTGAAAAAGAGTCAGAATGAGATAAGAAACGTATGGATATACATTACATTTCTTTCTAATTTTTTTATCTAGAAAGATGCCTGTTAAAAAAGTAATTAAACATATTTATCACCATCTAAAAAAATGTTACATGTGCATACATACATATAGTCTTTTACAGAATTTTTGAATGCCATATGATTTTTCTTTCTAAAACTCATTTAAAAAGATCTACATAAATCAGATAATAATTGTTCATTATGAAAGCACAAAATTTAAATTTTTCGTTTTTTATAAATTACGTCATCCATATGTCTCGTGATTATTTTGACATTGCTAAAACACAAAGCAAAAATTGCCATGTCTCTACATATTAAAAAGCAGATGAGATTTTTGCCGACACTATACTTTTAAATTTTTATAAATTATCTAACAATAAGTTTTCAATATTTTTCAAATATTAGATGTTTTTCGTGCTAATCGCGACAGCCTTGGCGCTGTTTCTGGGGTACATATGGCACCTTGGAGGTCACTGGGCCAGAAGGAAAGTACCAGCACCAGAACCTAGTGAATTTTTTGGAAGACTTTGGAAAAATATTACTCTAGCAGAGCATTTCGGACTTTTAGTGCACGAAGCGTACAAGTAAAATAATATTTTATTAAAAATAATATTATCATCATTATTAATATTATGAAGACAATTATAAATAATTGGTCTGGCGGGGAAGGTCAGATTTATTTTGTAATATCAATAGCATATGTATGCAGCTGTCGATTTATAATTATGATTAATTCATTCTAAATTTTAATACTTAATTTAAGTTTTATATACGAGTTATTGCAGTAGGCATGATGATATAGATTCTGCGCCGCACAAAATGACATAATATTATGAGTAAGCAATTTGCAAGGTAAACAATTTAATTTATGCATACTAAAAACAGTAATCTCAAGATACAAAAGTCGCCTACGGAATCAATAATGAGCATTGTTTATTCAACAATTCAATGGTATAGTAGACAATGATCATTCTTGCAAATTTGTAGATAAAGCAAACAACATCCGATATATCCAGTAATGTTTTATGAACAGAGCATTTTACATTAAATATTTCTTTATATCTAAAAAAGAACTAGTGGTGTATGGCATCGTGCCTTAAGGCAAATTGCTGAAACTTCCCGTACCAACAATTACAATTTTTTAAAAAAACCTTTAAATTTTTTGGAAAACTTTGAAAAAAATTGAGTTTTTGAGAATTTTTTTTCAAATTTATTTGACTTTTTTAGAAAATTGGAATTTTCTTTTATTTTTGAAATTTTTCAATACTTTGAATTTTTCTGAAAATTTTGAACTATTTTTCAAAGCAATCGTGCTGCGTGGCTGTTTTAGACGTTTAGACTAGTTTTAGAAGCGCATAAGCGCCGCATCGCAGTCTAACGGATAAACATTTGTACAGAACCCATAGGAATGAGAACAAAATTCATACTCATTATTAAAATATCTGATAATTTGATGTGCATATGTCTAATGATCATTTTTGACCGCCAAACGGCATTTTTTTTACTTTTTTCGCTCGATCTCTGAATTCGCTAGCCCTGTCTTCGCAAAAAATAAAACGGTCTTCATTTTGTGAGTACAAATATAATCTTCTCTCAAAAATTGAATTACAATTTCTGGCTCTCTTTGCCAAAAACTGATCAGCACGTCTCCTTTTTAATACGAATCGATTTGAATTATTCAAATCGGTTGATCCGTGTTCCCGAAATTGTGAACAAAAATTTGTATACGTACACACACACAGACACATACATCCATTTTTTTAAGGAATGCCAAAATGTTGAGAAACCTTTGAAACGTAAAATTATATAAACATATTCATTTTACATTTTTTTGCGACTACTATAACTTACTCTATGGAAAATCAAATATATCACAAGCAAACACTTAATTCTTTTTGAAAAGATATAAACTCTCCTTGGTTATTAGAAAATTAAATAGATGCGCCATCAAAAACTGAATTCAAAGCGAAAATATGTACAAAATTTGTAAATTATTTTGATAATTATAAAAGTTATATTGTATTATATGTACTAGATAGCTAGCTAGATAAAGCTAGCTAAATCGATATTTCTGGTTAATCAATTATAACAAAATGACGTTAAACAAGAAGCAAAAAAAAATTATAAACGCTGAAAGTTTTCGCTTTTTTTGCTGTAAACAATGTTTTATAATTAATTGATAATATTACTAGTATTAAAGTAGTATGAAAACTGGCATAAGTATTTAATTTTATTGAGTCTCCCATATAATGTTATATTTTTTTAGGCGTTTTCAAGATCGACCCTACTTTGGAACCTTTTCGTGTTTCAAACCCTTATTTGTGGTCAAAGATTTGGATTTAGTAAAGA